CCCCGGAGCGAGGCGGACGGCTCCTCGCCCTACCTCAAAGCCGAACACCAGCTGCACCGAGGCTCCTCGCGTGAGGATGCTGTGGTAAGCGTGACTGACAAAGAGGAAATCCAGAATCCCCAGGAGGAACATGAGCGCTGGGAAAAGGAAAGAAAACGGGAGCAAAAAAAATCAGGGCACGGCTGCAAAGGTGGAGAAGAAGCCTGGCTGGGGGAAACGGGGGGCAGAGACCCCTCCAAGCGAAAGAAGCTGCTTTGAACTGTTCCGTGCATCCCAAAACGCTTCCCACCCTCAGAGCAACAGGCTTTGGGAGACCAACCCTCGAGGAATATTAGTCAGAACCAGTTTATAAACAGCTGTGTGATAACGAAGGGCTGAATTAAACGTTTGCTGGCATCGGACATTTCTGTAACGAGGTCGACATCCCAGCTCACTCGGTTGAAACGCCTCCGCATCTCTGTCTGAAGGACAGAGGATTCGTTCCTTTCCGCTTTGAGCCACGTTTCAGCATCTGAAGTCTGCCCTTGTGTCTCCCCTTAAGGCTAAATCACCCCCAATTCCTTTGGCAGCTGTTTTCAATGTTTCTAAATCCCCTGCTCTAGAGCTGGGAATACGCTTAGCCATGAGTCTGCCCGTTTTTCTGTGGGTCTGGCTGTTTTTCCCTGCGGGTTCGGGGCCGTATTTCTTTGCCTAGCCAAAGCGGAATTCGTTAAATCCCCAGCGATCCACCTCCGCTCGCTTCCTGGGAGCTGTCGCACAGCTTCTGCTCCAAAAGCCTTCGCCAACGGGGGTCTCTAGAGCAGCGAGGCCCCGGAGGTGCTTTGATAAGGTTATCGAGTCTGAACGGCCCCGCGCTCGGCTGCACAAGGCTTTTCCCCCCTCGGCGCCTCTTCCCCGGCCCTATGCAAATGGCTCTGCTGAAATTATCTTTCCTGACCAGCTGCCGCCGCTGTTCACGTCGCAAAGCGGTCAAAAAAGGCAAACCTCGCCCGCTCGCTTCTGCCCGAGAGGATCCGACAATCAGGGCGCAGATACTCACAGACAATGCGGAAGTGGAAGAGCCAGGAGATGTTCGGGCTCCTCTCCATCTGCAAAGAGGGGTGGAAAGAGAGCTGAGACCCCCCACACACACCCCAAAAAAGCCCTTCCCACTGCTCTTTTCGCCCCCGTAAAGCTCCTCCGCCCACCACGAGCGGGAGAGGAGCCACCACGCCGGGACCCCGCTGCTCGGGGGGGGCTCTACCTTCCCTATTGTGGCCGTCACGCGAACGTCTCCTCTCCGGGGTGGACCCCAAAGTACTTACAAAGTCCACCCGGTCCTCGGCCAACCAGTGAAAACACTTGAGGAAGAGGAGGAGGGTGAAGAGGGCCACGAAGCGGGGGCTGAAGTCGTCCCTGAAGACGGTGAAAGCCAGGCAGGTCTCCGTGACGGCGTACCACGACCGCTCGAGCAGGTGCTACGGGGCAGAGGCAGCGCGGGGAGCTCGCAAGGCGGCCTCCCTCCCTGCATCCTCTGCTTCCCGCCCCGATTT